ACAAACAAAGATCTCTCAAAGATCGAAATCTCAAGTTAAAGCACAAGTTGGTAGGTAAAGATATTCAATACAATACTCTCTAAACTTCTTCAGATCTGTTACCAACCATATTTATAGCCCTTTGCTCGAAAATAACCGTTTTTAGCCGTTAGGGGTTATTAAATGCTCTGCAGGACACCAAGCTCGAGCTGCAGGTTTGTCAGGAGAGCCGGTTTAACTTTCTAGAGCCGGCTCTGCAGAGCTGGCTATCCGATTTTGCAGGCCATTTTGTTTTCCTCGATAGCCGGCTACAAGACTTTGAGTTGGCTTTGAAACTCCGACTTTAAATACATCAAATATTCTTCAAATAAGTCGACCATTGTGCATTAAATGCACCCTCGCAGTCGGCTGCAAAGTTGGAGCTAGCTTTGCGTCTTTGCTTCACGCGCGCCAAATAACGTTCTTCAAATTTTTGCCTGTAGAGCTGGCTATAGATTCCAAAGCCGGCTGCAGCTTCTAAAGCTGGCTCTCTGCACTTCCATTTCTCCAGAGCCGGCTGCAGCTTTTAAGAGTCGGCTTACTGCACATTTTGAATCATTTTGGTCTATTTTTAGTGCAATCCAAGTTTACTTGCAATCTTTTAGCAACTTAACTACACACTTAAATAAACTAATTAGTCACTCAAATGTGTTTTGTAATCATCAAAATCATAGGTACAACAATCTCCCCCTTTTTGATGATGACAAAACACTTTGAGAATTAATTAATGAAAGAACATATATACTTCAATATTAACTAGAATTTTAGCACAAAGATAAAGCACATATATACTTCAATATTAGCTAGAATCTCAACACAAAGATACTCTAGAAAATGATTTTAAATTCAACACATTCTCTCCCCCTTTTTGTCATTCATCAAAAAGCACATAATCAACAAATTCCCCCTTAATTCATGCACATCAATCTTTAAAGCATCAAGAATATAAAATGAATATAATCATCAATCAATAAACTCCCCCTCAATAAGAGCATATTATCATCAAAATCATAAACAATCAATACCCAAAAGTCATGCCAATATCAACACAAGTCATACAACAAAGATTATATCATACCAAAGTCAAATGCCATGAGAATTCATAATACATGATAAAAGGTTCAAGATGAAGAAAAACATAGATAAACTTAACATACATATGCCTAAGATGTCCACCTAAAAATTAGCCAATACTGAAGAAATATCAAGTTAGTTGGCATTAGGTGGGGGTGGAAGGAAAAAAATGGTTAACAAGTTGATCAAGCTTTCCTTCCACATTAGTCAGCTTTCCTTCCACGTTAGTCATTCTTCCTCTAATTTTTGTCTAGAAACCATAAAAGTCGATGTGCAGCTGCTGCATCTTAGATATCATTAACTCCATGGTTTCACGGTTAGTTCTTTGCATGGAGGCTCGAAATGGTCTTGGGCTGTCATCTTCATGTTCTTCTGCCCCTTGTTTTGCCATTTCTTGATCTGTATCACCTTCTTCTTCATCCCCTTCTTGTTCCCCTTTCTTTATCCAAATGCCATTTCTAAACAAACAGTCTATTTTCTCAAAAGAGGCTTTGGTAAGTGTAGTCCCACCAGGAACCGTTCCGAACCTAAAGGAGGTAAGATCAATATTGTTCCTCTTCGCCAATCTGGTAATTAAAGCACCATGAGGAAGTCCCGTAGTTGGTGAGTAAGGCTTGATTATGCTCCAGAAAATGTATCTTCCTAGGTTCACCCTTTTTCTGTTAAGAAGATAGTCAAACCAGAGAAGATCACTGGCAAGAACATAAGATTTAGAACCCTGCCTCTGAGCAATAATGCGAGATATAATCCACTGCAATGCGCTATTTTCTGGTGAAAGAGACCCCACTTTAATTTGATTTTCAGTGCAATTGGGGGCAATTGTGGCTCTAACTAAGGCATGATTCACATCTAGAAATTCATCATCTCCTCCTTCAGGTATAGCTAATACAGCACAAATATCCTTTGATGAAAACTGAAATGACACCCCCGCAACCAAAGTTTTGCATTTATTCCCTCTTGGTTTCAGATTAGCATAAAATTGATGAACAACTTCATAATACACAGGCTCTTTAATTTCTATATAATCCTTCCACCCAAGTTCCCTAAAAATTTGTTCAACACGCATATCTCCTTGAGGAAATTGACTGAATTTGATACAATTGCAAGATAAAACAACCATATTCTTGATAATTTCATACTGTGTAGAGGCTTGGGTATCCAAAAAGAGATTGGATTGGGAGATGTTACCTTCTTCTTCTTGAGCTTGACCACCAGTGCTAGAATTACCCACTTGTTTCCTTTTACTTCCAACGCTTCTTGAAGCCATAAGAGAGAAATCCCAACAGCCACACCAAAAATACAGCAGATCCCACACAAATTGAAGTGAAAGCTTGAGGTTTTGTGTTGGGTAGGCAAGGATTTGATGGTATTTGAGTGTTTAAGGGATGAGTTTTGGAGATTTGGAGGGATTTGGGTGTTTGGGAGAGTGAATGGAGAGTTTTGGGAGAGGAGAGGTCACGGGTTTGAAGCAGATCTGGGCTGGTTTATGCGGGGAGAGAGAAACGCGAGGCTTTAAAAATTCTACAGGAGAGTCGGCTGTAAAGCGGGTCCGGGTTCGAGTCAGGTCGCCTGCGGTTGAGCCGACAAGAGAACCTAGAGCCAGCTGGGGTTTAGAGAGAGAAGACTCTCGATTTTTTTAGGTTGAGCCGGCTATGAAGCTAGAGCCGGCTGTGCTGTAGAGAGAGAATACTCTCGGGTTTTTGGTTGAGCCGGCTGTGAAAAGGGATGAGCCAGCTCTACTGGCCTTGATTGGGACAAGTAGAAAGTTTGGGGCTGTTTTGAAGGGAATGCACCTTAATTTGATATTTCTTCATTTAACTAAGTTTAAATTGAAAATATTCAAAAGAACTTTCATTAATTGAACTAGAGAAGTTAGAGTTTACCTCCTCATCATTGTAGCTATCCTCTTGAGCCATGAAGCAAAGATTTGCAACACCATTTTCCAAGGAGCTTTCACTCTCCATTGAGCTAGTCTCATCATTGCTCCAAGTGGCGGTAAAAGCTTTCTTCTTCATGCTCTTCTTGTTTTTCCTTTCACCCTTCTTCAATTTGGGACATTCATTTCTATAGTGCCCCATCTTGTTGCACTCATAGCATTTCACACTCTTTTTGGTGGATTCTCCTTCATCTCTTCTTGCAAGCTTGATCTTGATGTTCTTCTTCATGAATCTCTTCACTTCCTTTGAAATCAATTTGGTGATGTCCTCCTCATTGCTAGACTCCTCATTACTAGCATCATCTTCACTCTCTTTCTTTTGGTTGCTAGCCTTGAAAGCAACATTCTTCTTCTTCTTCTCAACTACTTCAACTCCACCATCAACTTGAACTTCTATCTCATTTGTCATCAATTTTCCAATGAGATCTTCAAGCTTGAGGGTTTTGAGATCCTTAAACTCTTCAATTGCGGTCTTCTTGGCTTCCCAATTCTTGGGCAAGCTTCTAAGAACCTTCCTCACTACTTCTTGAGAAGGATAGACTTTACCAAGAGCCTTGAGATTGGTGACTATATCATTCAATCTTGTATACATATCTTGAAT